AGATAATCTAACATCCTTAATCGAGAGTTTTCCTAAGTCAAGGCTTAGGATGTAATTAACTACGGGGGCTTGCGCCCGTAGGAAACCGATCCCCACAATCAAATAAACCCTATTCGGTGCTGATGTATCGAATAGGGGAAATCTCGTGAACTTTTGGGTTATAGATATTATTATCCATCGAGGTGCGTAGGTAAAAAACCGCTATCCTCCATGGCTAATCGTATCTATAACTCCATCTGCTCTTCCATCGGCCTGCTTGTGCCGAGTGTAAAGGCCTACGACCACTTTGTCCTACGGGATAGTGTGATCGTACTCTTTGCATTCGAACCACACGAGCAGAATCCTTTCGGAGACCCACAAGGTCCATTTGTCCTTTCAAGTGACGTGTCGCGCCGACGCTCGCATTGCTTAAATAGTTATTTTCGCATCTTTTCGTATGTTTTGATGCGCAGGGGGTCAACACTCACCGAGTACCTTAATCTTCTCAGACCCTAAAATATTCAAATTATTAAGACTTCTATTTCACAAATCTATCCAACACACTCAACACTTGATCTCACAACATTTCATTGAACTTTGTGTTTACTCTCAAAAGAAGAATCAATAAAGAATTGAAACTCCTATATATTTGAAATCTTCTCATTAATTTTATCTAAAACCAAGAGATTCACAAACTCTCCTCCTATGTGACACTTCTCAAGAATTTCCCATTCTCTAAGAAATTATGATAGCATTTGTACTCAACAACCTATAGCAAAAACTGTAAGATAGGATCATTTGTTCTCCTCAATGAAAACTAAAACTTTAAATATAACAGAAATAGAAATCTCAAAGCCTATGAAAGAGATAAAACTAAAATGGTGAGGGGCTGTGAAAGCTAAAATGAAGGCTATTGAAAAAAAATGACATGATAATCATTCAGAAACCCAAGAATGCAATTCATATTGGGTGTAAATGGGTCTTTACTAACCAACATTGGACAGATGGATCAATTGAGAGACAAAGCAAGACCAGTAGAAAAAAGGATTCACCCAAACATATGAGATTAACTACTTAGAGATCTTCATTCATGTTGCTAAACTGAACACTATTCACAATGGCAGTCAAGTTATGGAAGTCAAACTTGACTAACCTCTTCATCAACTGAATATCAAAAATGTATTCCTCAATGGTGACGTGAATGAAGAAAGTTTATATGGATCTTCTTTTAGGGATCAGTGACTCTTAAAAGATAGTTCAAATATGCAAATTGAAAAAATTCATTTATCAATTCAAATAATCTCCTAGAGATGGGATTGAAAAGTTCAACAAAATTGTGCATCAATAAGTTTTGAAGTAGGCTCATTCTAATCATAAAATATTCTACAAACACAAGGATGTTATGTCTACCAAACTAATGTGTATGTAATGATATCGTTGTAACAAGGGATTATGGTTTGGATATGAATATCTTGAAGAAAGGCTAGTTGAGGAGTTCTAAATCACAGACCTTGGCCCTCTCAGCTGCTTTTTGAAATGAAAATTGCTACAAACAAATCTAGTATTGCTATTTCTAATAGCAAATATATATTCTAGATCTCTTAAGAAAAACTAATTTTACTAAAAGCAAAATGATTACACTCCAACTGATCCTAACACAAAATTAAGTGGCATTAGCACTGGTAATCTAGTAGATAAGAGAAAATATCAAATATTGGATGAAAAACTCATCTATATATCTCATATCAGACTTGAATTGCCTTCGTTGTCATTGAGTAAATCCATTCATGCATGCACCATAAGAAGAACACATTGTTATTACAGGATCCGCAAGTGCTTAAAAGTGAACCCATAAGGGGACCATGCATTAAAAAAGAGGAATCATAAATAATAGAAGCCTATATTGATGTTGATTAGGAAGGCTCCATCGTTAATAGAAGATCAACATTTAGGTACTGTACTAATGCATAGGATAATCTTATAACTTTGAAAAGAAAAAACAAAAATATCATGGCAAGGACAAGACACTCGATTTATAAGCTAGTGTAATTACTAAATTAATCTGACTTAAGCTATTTTTAGAAAAACTTCAAGTAACAACCAAGGCAAGCATGATCTTATATTAACAACAAAGTTGTTATCAATATAACAAATAACCAGGTCCATCATAATTGAAATATATAGAGGTAAATCGACATTTCATTAAAGAAAAAATTAAAATTAAATTGTGTTTTATGTACTCCATTCTAGGATTAGACTATTACCATCATAACCTAAGGATTGACAAAATTTCTGTTTGAAAAAAAAGATTGGCAAGCTTGGCTTGTATGATGTCTACAATCAACTTGAAAGTGAGAGTTGAATATTAGCTACTGCCTACTGCAAATAGGGAAAAGATAAATATTGTTTACCTTCTCGAGATAGAAGTCTAACACGTAAATTGCAGGCTAGGGCTGGCAGTTTCCAATCCCTAAGCTAACGCAATAAAAGCCAGCTGGTGGATATTTCTCCCATGGCAAAACCAACAAGCGGTACTTCCTTGGATGGCAAGTCCAAATATTTTCTCCACATGGAAAGCTATGATTTGGGGTGGAATGAAAGGCAGCTAGCATGGACCTATTTTGAGGTTAATTCCTGGGATTCTATTAATTGCATTTAGTAATTCTTTCATTTGAAAATGATGCCATATTTCAGATTTCTTTTCTTGCTATGATGTATTACCTTTCTAGGTGTGTGAGTCAAAACAACTTATGAGCCGGCTCAAGCTCGTCTCAATAAATGACTCAAGAGCAGAGTCTGATGAGCTCATGAGCCAAACTTGAGTCAGTTCCAACTAAACTCATTAGTTCATAGGCTGACTTGTTTAAAAAAATTGATGTAAAATACACTTGAAATGTATTAAAATTTATGAGTTTAAGAAAAAAAATTATAAAAAATAATTAAAATTTATATCACACTTCAATATATCAAGTATCTTAATTTTTTTCCTTTACTCTCATTTTTTTTTATCATTTTATTATAATATTGTCTGAATTAAAATCCGTTTTTTCTCTTTCATAATAAAAGAGCTGATTTGTGAGCCAACTGAAACTCATAGAATTAAGCTTGAGTTCAAACTCGATTAATTAATCAAGCTCAAGCCAAATATGACTCGAGCTAGGCTCGACTCATTTACACCCTTATTTGTAATCCTCTATTTATAAGGCCAAATTTCAACCAATTGAATAAAACAAGCATTCTTCCGCTTTTTCTCTCTTCTTCTCTGTATACACTATTTTATTTATACAAAAATGTTGATTAAGGATGACAACGTCATCTAAGAAACGCATTGAATATGTATCAAAATAGCTTATATATAAAGGGAAAATATTTTGCAAATTTTAAATTTATGCTGTCTATGGATAACAACGTAAATTGAACTACTGAGCAAAACTTATACTAAATGAGCATACACGAAAATGAACCTGCTGTTTGGAAGACTTTTAAGTGCGTTAGGCAAAAATCCTCTATATAATCCAAGGACACCATCACGTTCCAAAATACCTGCATTAGCATAGCATTGCCAAGTAGTACATGTTATAAGAGTGGAACTTGAAGATATATCTATACTAGAACTTTGCTAAAATTATGTTACTTCACATTAAAATATTAATAACAACAATTACTCAGTGTCAACTTGATGCAGAACACATTAAAACTTCTTGCCTCAATAATATATCAGCAAAAAAAAATTCAAAATTTAAAGCTTCCCAGGGTACATCTACAAAAATACTGGTGTTTGTTGACCTCTAACCGTCGGAGAACCCAACACCTTCGTTCAAACCAAGCCGGACCCAGCATACATACCCAACCGACTCCACCTCAGCCACAATCAAACCATACGACAAAAACTACCCCAAAACTGCCCACGATCGCACGACCGTCCCCTCTCACGATACAAAAACAAATTCCTCTCATTAAGTTCTCTCTCACGCACACAAAAAAACGCTCTCAGAACTGAACCCGAGGGAGAAGATCGCAAGCAAAGGAATACAGAGACAAGAAACCAAATCCATACCTACACTCTCGTTCATTTCTCCTTCAGCCGAAGCCCGTCGACTTGCTTCCGATCTCCTGCTCTCATAACTTCGAACTCACAGACGACTTCCTCATCCCGCGCCGGCGACCAAGCCTCTGCTCCGACACCGCCGGCCAGACTTCCGCCGTGATCCTGCCGCCGACAAAACCCCCGTGCCCGAACCCGTGCGTGGTCTCCTTCCTCGTGTGTGGCCTCTCTGACCTAGCCGGATCTGGCTTCTCCCGATCCTCTTTTCTCCCCCTATCTCTATTATATTATATAATATTATGTTATATTGTATACTATATTATAATATTATAACACATTATATTTTATTATAATATATATTTTATGATATAAAATATATATTATAATATTCATATTATATATATTATAATATAATATCTATATTATATATTATATTATAAAAGAAAAGAAAGAGAGAGAGAAAGAGATAGAGAAAGAGAGATGGAGAGAAATAATTTGCAAATTAGGTGGGAGCAATTTGAAGGAAGTCCCGGGGTTGATCCGGTCCCCCGAAGCCCTTGGCCGTCGAGTTAATCCGGCCGAGGGAGCGCAAACACCGATGGGATCGATTCGCTCTCCCAAATCTCCTCGCCGTCGATTTGATCCGGCCGAGTCGAGCACTCCCTTACCTCCCGACATCGGGGAGGGGACGTCGGGAGGCTGCCGAATTTTCTCAAACTTTTGGGACTTAGTCTAATTTGCCACAAATTTCCGGCAATCAACAACCACTACAAAGAACTTTCGAAGACTCTTTTATGGGATCGATTCGCTCTCCCAAATCTCCTCGCCGTTGATTCGCTCCGGCCGAGTCGAGCACTCTCTTACCTCCCGGCATCGGGGAGGGGACGCCGGGAGGCTGCCGAAATTTACTCAGAAATTCAAGACTTAGCCAAATTTTGAGAAGATTGGAAAAATAACTTGGAATTAATTAATTGAATCAAAATTCTAAATTAACTAAGAGCATTTAATTCAACACTAAGTCTCTTAATTAATTTAATTAACCAACTTAAACAAAATCCATTTCATAGATCTAGCATATTTATGATGGTTAAGGTGGAGGAAGTGATGGCTAATGAGAAGAATAAATCTTTCATCGTATTGTTCTCAACATGATTGATATGTTAAATAATATTTTTGGAAAGATTATAGTAGATTGAAGTTCACAAATCTACATTATAATTTTTAATATCAATGTCATATGATGATAAAATAGAGATTGAATTTGACATGCAATAAATATAACAAGTTGCAATGCACGCTACAATTTACTTAAAAATGGAAGCCAAAGAATTTGTAGTGTTCTATATATTATGCTACAGGCATACGAGAAGATCTTACAAAATAAACTAGTCTATCTATGATAGAAGCGGGGTACTTCTAGTTCATGTTACCATTCATTTGTAAATAGGAGCAAGATATTTATAGTGCCCATAACAACTAGCCTATGAATAAGAATAAGGAGCTTGTATCGAACAAATCAATTCACCTATAAGGGAGAATAGGAGAATTTATAGCAAACAAGATAATTATTCTACGAGTACGATCTAGTAGTGGCAATTGAGCAAACACTCTCTACGAGCTGTGCTAAGTGATGCTTAGAGGAGTTAAAACAAACTAAATGCAATAATTGAAATCCCGAAAGCATTAACGCCACCGAATCCGCAACATGTGTACAAGCAGACAGAAGGCGTCATAGGCCTCTTAAACGAAATATCGGGCATTTTTTTTATAAAATAATTTGATTAAATAGATCATATTTAAATATTTTAAAATGCCCCTTATGTATTAAATGTGATCCATTAAACTAAATACACCCTGCATGTGCTCCGACAGAACTATTAAAGTTACAAACTCAAATCGTCGAGAATGCCGCGCAGGGTCAAATGATACAACCCGCATGTGCTCCAATCATCACCTCTAAGTCCTAAAATCCAACGATTCGAGAATGCTGCGCGGGGCTAATATTCAAGTTTCATCCTTCTCTTCGAAAGGACTGGAGTCGACCTAATTTGAATCATAAAATGCCTCCCAAAATCGTACAAAAATACAAGTGACCTTAATGTCACCCCGATGATGGCCGTGTTGATCGAAAATCTCAATCAAATCTCAAATCAAACAACAATTCAAATTCTTAAAATAAAATCAATCACCTAAAAACTCAAAACTAAAAATCATCCGCCTCCCGCAATTGTTTGTCGGGGGTGATAAATTTAAAATTAACCTCAGCTCACAAAGAGCCAATGTGTGTCAGGTGTATTACTTTGATTCATCCTCAAATAGTCTCTTGTCAACAGGGACGTGGCACGTGCCCTCTGATCGGGTGGTTTTGCCGCGAAATGGCACCATTATATTACGATCACGGCCAAAGCCCGTATGTTCCCTAAAGGCGTCAAACCCTTGAGTTATGAATCATAGGGTATATTCGATAGGCATAAAACCCTCTGTTAGCTAAGGTGGATTCAGATGTATCCCCTTAGACAAATATCAACCTAGGTCTACAAGGTATTCTTGGACGAAGCAACCCATAGCTGCCAACAAGGTGCCTTCTGTTAGGTTGGGTCGACTACCTCCTCTGACTAAGTAGACCAGGGATCATGACAGCCCGGGATGACGGAACCATGGGATCTTGATCGAGCTCATCTTCATTCCCTCCACCAATAGTTTTAAATTTATGGTGATAAATTCTAAATTCCAAATTTCAAACTTCCAAATTCAAAATTTAAACTCTAAAAAAATTATTGCTATTATACGATAGGTTTATAACCTATACAACCTCCTTAACGACTAGCCTTAATCGAAAGTTCTCTCCTATTATTAGGAGGGGTAATTAACTATAGGGGCTTGCGCCTATAGGAAACTAGAACTCAGATCAAAAAGTCCTCACCAAATGAGGGCTAAATCTCTGGGTAATGTCTTATCTAAAACCCAATCTGCCTTCTGAAAATTCCCCCAGGATCACACACCTAAAAATGGAATTTTCGGAGCCCACAGTGTTCATTTGATTCCAAGTGCAAGAAAGAACCATTTTCTAAATTAAGTAATCATAATCTCTTTTTTGTATCAAATCATGCCTTTGCACTCGCATATGCGTAGAATCCATGTAGATCAGTCTGGGCACATTGTTAGTCTAGAGAGAAACTTACATGTATGAAAGCACAAGCAAACATAGAAACTGCAGGAGTCTGAAACCCTGGGTGGCACATCGCATGTGAAGCCAACTCACACTTAATGTGCTAAAATGACAAGCCATGCGTACGTAATGTTTTCAGTCCATTTGAGGAAAGGTCTCCTTAGCAATTCCACAGTACATAGAAATAGTAAAGGAGACTAAGCAATTTAAAGGGGTTGCAGGAAATTACAGATAAAAGTGGCCTGCAGAAAGCTTCCTCCTGTGGCCCTTACCCTAGCCTTAATTTTATTTATTCCCTTTCTGCACAAACTATTAATCATCCTATTTATTCCTACAAAAAGCAAAAATGATAAACTAAAGAGATATTTTCAAAACCTTGGATAACTATTGATGAAAGTATATTCCCCGAAAAATTAAGCAGTGAAACTTTACATTTGATTTCTATTATAATACATCAACTTGAAGAACCATAGATTACCAGGAAAAGCGTCAAAAACAGTATTGTAAGGTGAGCCTTTCATTTGCATCTGTCTTCTCACAGTATCAAGCGGATAACACATAAGTGTGGCAAGTGAGGCAGACACCATTGCAGTTATCAGAGATGTCTCTGGCCTCTTCCTATACTTCTCTGGAAGAGATTTCTTCATTCTAGAAAAAAATGGACAAAATAATGCTTGCCAATAAGCCTGACATTGTGGCCTCATCCTCAATGGAAAGTTCCATGTAAACAAAAGGAAAGATGCCTTACAAATCAAATATGCAGAAGTTTAGAGCAATATAAGGTGCTATTCCAATGAGGGATGGGCCAAGACCACCATAAAATGAAGACACACCTTCTTCTCTAAACATGTTTAGGGCAACCTGTAAAACACAAAACTATGTCACCACAAATTCTAGAAAAGTAAATAAATGTAGAAGTTTACCTGAGACATAGTTCGGGATCCAGTTTCAACTGCTAATCTTAGACGTAGCACATCGAGAGGATAGGTTAACTGAAAGAATAACATATTGAAGCAAACCTCTAATGAATGCATAAATAATCCATCTAAAGCAGATGGCGAATTATACATCAAGTAAAAGATGATATGGGCATCAGATAACTAACAAAGGTTGAGGTCATCCCAGCACAAGCACCAGCAAAAAGCCTCCCAACAACAGAGAGTTCTCCATCCTTGTTGCTAAAGACTTTCTATAGATGAACAAGCAAATAACAGTAAAGATTCAAAATATGTTAGAAAACAAATAAGAATAGACACAAAGAAATGAAAAAAGGAATCATAAACTTATAAAACAAGGATTCTTTACCTTATAAACTTCATATGAAAAAAGCTGCACGGCGCTATATGGAATTATGCGCATAATCTGCCACAATTCAATAAAATTCTGAGATCTTTTATGACGTAAGATTTAGAATAAATAATTTTCAGAAATGGTAGAATGAAAAAACTTCAGGAACCTGCGGGAGATTCCCTTTCCAGTATCCCTTGACACCTTCCTCCTTTCCAATAAGTTTAAAGGCCTGCAAATAGCTCAGACTCAAGATATAGAATCTGAGATCATATGGTTGCATATATAATAACAAAACAAGGTCTGGCATCAAACTGTTGTTGTACTATACTTTCCTACCATTACACTAATTAACAATATATTAGAAAGCCTTGGCATCAAAATGTTGGTCGTAAAATTATTTTCACTTTACACCAACACTCTATCATCACAAACCAAATTGCATACACAAACCACCCTCAACTGCCCTTTCATGATTCTAAGTTCTTATGTATTTTGAGTGTAGAACAGGGAATGTAAGAGTTTTAAATTTAAGGTGTTGGCTGTGAAAAAAATAAATACAGTTTTTTTCCAGGAACTTAGAATACCCTCCCTAGCTAAATTTTCAATGTATTTTGAATTCACCTAAATTAGGCAAATTCAAAATACATAAACTTGTAAACCTTGTAGACCCCAAAAACACTGTGGATCCCATCGCTATGCTTGACCTCAACTTTGTCCTTGCCTCCATAGCTCCTATCTTGGTCTCCATTGGGAACTAACCTCACCTTTGCCCTCGCCTCAACAACCGACGCCCTCACCTCCATCGAGTTCTAATCTTGTCTCCACTAGACACCGATCTAACCTCCGCCAACTGACCTCACCTCCAAAAACGCTCGCCCTCGCCACCATAATTCACAATTGTCCACACAAAGAGTGCGAGAGAGAGGGAGAGAGTTTTCTATATAGTTGAACTTTATCAAACAAAAAGAAAATAACATTTCCTTACATTTGATCCATATTCAACAAAACAACCACCCTAAATTCAAAATACATTACATTTATTTAGTGTAAATACATCCAAACAAGTAGCTCCTAAATGAACTAAGTGTTACACCAAGCACCATGGAGTTTTGGGGAGATTGTAAGCAAGCAAAGAACAACCATGGTTCAAGCTGCAGAAACTGCTTAAGACAAAATTTCTCTTTAATATAAATTTGTGATCATGACTTCAATATTGAAGCTTAGTATAATGTTCAGATCATGACTTCAGTCTTCTTGCATAATCCATCGTCATCTTAGTTTAATGGTAATATAAGCAATTCATGAGAAGGTTATGCTTCACATACCAAGGTCTTCTTGAATAATCCATCTTCAGAGAAATATTTCAATGCATAGAAGTTCCATCTACACTCAGAGCAAGCACCCCAAAACACATTTACTTGAGCGTTGAGCTCAACCAAAGTTTTGAAGTAGACAGTTAATAAAGAAAACCGAGTAAAGCACAATAGGAGTTCACTTTAAAATAAGACTATAATGACTTAGCCATTGTTAAAATTAGTATAAAGTAGAACATCATCGAATTTCAACACAATAAAAAACAACAAGCTTTTATCCCACTACGTGGGGTCGGCTACATGAATCTGTTTTCTCCATTGCAAGAGTCAAATTCTCATTTAAATCTAATAAATAAATGTCATTTCTAATATTTTCTAACCAAGCCTTTTTAAGTCTAGCTCTACCTTTCTTAACATAAGTCAAATCTAATACATCTACTTTCCTAACCGGGTCATCGGAGGGCTGCAATTTTATGTGACCAAATCATCTAAGGCGGTTTTCTCTAATCTTATCTTCCACTAAAGCTACTCCAACAAAAACAATGCAAAATGAAAATGAAAAAATAATTTCAACATGCACAACAAAAAATACGCAAAAGTTTACACGTCAAAACGTAAAAACAATCATTGATGTTTCAAGCTTCTAAGCAATCAATCCTGGAGGAATTGCTTGTATCTGAAACTCCAACAAAAAGTATAAAGTCAAAAAGAACACAAAGGCCAAATGCAATAAACTACCACTAAGAATATTTTTACTCTACTCTTAATTAAAAACTAAAACAACAAATTCGACATATTCATACTGTAAAGAATTACATCTTTCGTGTATGTTGAAAACTATACAGTCTATATTAGTCAAAATAAAAATGAGAAAATAATTAAAATGGTCCCCTGACTATCTATGAAGGACCAAAATGATCTCAAACTATGTAAAAGTCTAGATCTAGTCTCAATACTCTTTAAACAGGGACCGAAATAGTCTCACCATCCAAACTAATAGAAATTGGCATTCATTATATTAAAAATGGGGGTATTGTGAGAAAATATTCTTCCTTCTTGAATTTTTTGGTAAATTTAATTTTCTTCTTACCTTATTTCCTCATATACAATAGCAAATCTTGCATACTAGTGGGAGTAGATTGAGAACGTGCAAGGTGCCAAGCAAGTTATTTTTTTTTTTAATAAATTTGTTTAACATTCTTGTTATTCTGGTTTCATGGTAATGAAATAGATTAAGTTCATATTTTTTATCCCATAATATTAAAATTTTAATTTGTATATTAATTTTATTAAAAAATTGATTTATATCTAACTTCACGACTATTTCATTGATTGAAATCATTTAAAAATAAATAAATAAATATCTTTTTGCTTTACTTGAAACTATTTTTTTAGAAAGAACAAAATATATATTTTGAATGTTTAATCTAATTTATCATTACAAAAAATAACATTACTATATATTGTATAAAAAAGTTAAAATAAACACTATAGATTTCAAATCAATAAAAATCTATCTGCTCAGGATGCATCTTCTGCTCCTCTTTGTCACTACTCAGGAGAGTCTCCACTCTTCGTGTTTGTTGTTCAAGGAAGCTTCATCAAGTATAGAAAAGTTGTGGAATAGTCTCGTGCATGGTGTTCAAGAGAGGAAGCTTCGAAGCTACTCTCTTGCCTTCTCTAACCGTGCATGGCAGTCCCATTGATCGCCTGCTTAGGAAAGCTAAGCCCACTCCTTTTTTCAAGCTCACCTCTCCCTCTCGACTAGGGTAAGTGAAATTTAATAATAATAAAAAATCTTAGGAGTTACGCATGCTCCATCAGCTCTTCGTCGGTCAAAGAGATTTTACGTTAGTTTTAACTAGATGGAGGGGTCATTTTATTCTAGGATCTAAATAGGTCATTTTACATAGTTTGAGACCATTTTGGTTATTTTCTCCAAAAAAATTATTTTATAGCTCTCTTCAACACTTTTTTGAAAAATTCACAATGAGGCCTATGCTTCATTGAGCTCTATGTGATGCACGCCTCAAGGCATGCCTCGTCTCAATTTTGGTGAAGCATGCTCAATTTAGATGTACATTTTTAAGAAAGTAAATGTAAGAAAAGTAAATTTAATAAAACACTTATAATTACCCAAATAATAATCATGCATGCATTCAATCTCGAGAAAGCCATTGCCTGAGTATCTCTCCTCTCAGGCAATCTCTTCTTCAAACCTCACTCATGCCACTAGCTGTCTCCTTCCTAACAATCGCCGCAACCGCCAGTGCCTTGCCAAGTCTACGTGTACACAATGAATACTTACTTTGATGTTTACATATTACTTCTTAATTCATTATATGATGTTAGGATGTGAATTGGTTAATTGATACTTTGCACAATTCATTACTTCTTACCATGTAAGATATTAATGTGCTACTTCTTAATATGTTAATTGGATAGAATGTTATTATGTCACTTCTTAAATTATATTTTGATATATGTACAATGGTTCTTAATCTATGAAATTTGTTGATTCTGAGGCTTGCGCCTCACCTCACAAACAAAAAATACATCAATACTTAATTGTGCAATTTTAAACCTGGAGTTCTAGTAATGTTTCATGTCATATAACTTGAAGGAATGCTCTTAATTAATCATCATCAACAACATCATCAATCTATTAGCTTCATCTCTATGAATAAACAAGGCTAGCATTCTTTTCTTTTCCAATAATTGCGTTAGAATTTAGCAATTTTTAATTTTGATAATCCACAAAAGCAAAAGCACTCTATAAATCAATTTGTTAAGTCCTCTTCTCAATGTTCTTAAGGATGACTGGGCATATAAACAATCAGTCCCTAGAAAATAATATTTCTCTTGGTCCCTCTCATGACTTGTAAGAGTTATTGCACCGTACCTTCTCAACACTTATAAGTTAAACATACTATAAATAAATTGCTATAGAATTTAATTAACTTTTTTTTGTAGAGGAAATTTGATCTTCCACAAGAGTTGTTTGGTTTACTACCATCCTAATGAACTTTATATCCAATTTATGCATCAAGAGTTGTCCTAAAATTGGATGAGAATAAATAGTCTAACATCTTCTATTAATAATATAGTTGAAGATCTTAAGTCCGTTACTTATGCTTCTCTGCGCTCGTTGTGTCATGCCTTATTATAGCTTTCTGTAATGGAGCACAAAGATCTTCTTTGAATGATATTTTTTATATCTAAATTTCTTACTTTTGGCTTTTAATTTGGCCTTTAGACATGCATTGCTTCAACTTTCCTTGTTCTAAGAGAACATTTTGAGCTGTCTTATCTTAAAGTGTTATTGAAAAATAATGTTTTGTAGGATAATCGAAAAAGAGGGTAATCTTAAAGTAAAGTGTACTTGAATCTTGAATCTAGAAGATATTAATAAATCAACAACTATATATCTTAAAAAAACATCTTTAAATACAATAAGATTGAATTAAGCATGTAATCCCTCACAGATACACAGACATTCAATAGTATTGACATGCTATCTAATAAGCACTGCCGCAAAAATACACTGAGCTAAACAGCGTAAGGGGGAATAGAACAAAAAACCCTAATCGGTAATTGGTCAAGTGATTTCAAAACCCATCGGAAAACAAGCCTGTTTATTTAGATGACGAGAAGAAATGAAATAAAATCCCAACAATTTAAGAGTGAGTGATTATGATTACAAACACTGACTTAAGATTTCAAACAACAGCTTCCTATTTCTTTCTTCAAATTCCTAGAATATCAAACAAGGTTCGCTAAATCATAATTCATCTCCAATAACACACAATAAATTAAATTCTGAGACTTAGTAATTAGTATCCTCAATTGAAAGGGTAATCCCTTCTTTCCCACTTCCTGATCACTATGGCGTTTACATGAGGTGAGTGCTAAAAATGAATATAAAAAAATTCATCAGGCATAAATGCGCTAGCGACAGGAAGAATCGTGCGATTATTAGATAAAGAATTACAAGAAGGAAATGGGTGAGTATGCCTGCATGAGGAAGCTTGATGCGGTCGAGACAGGGGCGGTTAGGCTTTTGGCACGCGGCGCCTGGCTAAGAGCACCTGCGGTGAAAGAGGCTAGCCATTGGGCACCAAAGCCAGAGCGCAAGGGGATGTCAGAAGCTGCTCCGGCGACGCCAGGGCCTCCTTTTCTCCATTCGGTTCCCACGGTGGCCGCGTTTCGTTTCCAGCCGCAGGTTAGAGCGATGCCAAACGGCGAGAAAGCTTCCGTCCGCGCCGGCAGTTTCGAAGAGAGGCAATTAGGGCGGCCAACGAGGCACCCCCTCTTCCTCATTCGTTATGCAGGTAGCAACAAAGGAAAGTCAGCTTTCCTCCTGTTCGGGAAAAAATTCCGCCGGAATCCGAAATGCGGAGGTAGATTAGTGCGGCCACTAGAATGCTCAAGGTTTTGAAAAGCCGGCCAGGACTAAGAACCGGAATTGTTCAAAGAGAGGTTTCGGTTTACCGACGGTCTAATCAGGATGAATTGTGATGACGTAATAAAAAAAAATGATTATTTAAATTTAATATAATTACATAAAAAAATAATGTTTCAGTAGTTAGAGATAAAAAATTAAAGTAAAAAAAATATGAAACATAAAACTTATATAATTAGTATAAATAATTATTTTAAAATCTTCACATAAAAAGCCAAAAAAAATTTAAATCTCATAATTATAAGAATTACACTTCATAATAATATGATAATTTAAAATTTGAATATTTTTCAAATTTTAAATTTAATTTATATATACCATATAATTTAATATATATTATTATTTAATTTATGTTACATATTTAATATAAATTTTAATTCTAACATAAGTTTATAAATTAATATAAAATTATCTGTGTTTTATATATTATGATTAAAAATATATCTTTCATGTTTATGATATATTATATACAAAAGTTATTTTTATAAATTTATATCTAAAATTATTAAGAAATAAATAAAATTATTAATGATAAATTATTTTTTTTATGTAAAAAATATAATTTAGTAATAAAAAATATAGATTTTTTAACTAATAAATAATTATCACTCACATAAAAAAATAATTAATTAAAAAATCTATTTTAAAATAGGTTTTATACTCATTATATATGCTATGAACTCATACACTCCTCATCTCTTTTCTTTAGTCCCACATCCCTTAGAAACACTTTCTTGCTATTGTTTATATAGCATATTTAGATTCCTTGCACAAAGAGAGCACATGGGAAGGTTATGTGAAGATGTTTCATGATGCTTTGAGTACAAAATACTTATTATATAAAATGTATTTAACTTTAATTAAATATTTTATATATTTATTTATTTATTTATTAAAAAAAATACTTAATTTGTGAGATTTGAACCGGCCGGTTCAAAAATAATCGGACCTGTTCGCCGGTTGAACCGGCGGTTCTGACCGGTTCAGTCCGATT